GATCATATTTAAAGAAAAGGTCTTTGGCTATAGCATAGCCAAAAAGAATAAAAATATTATGTATATAAGATGTGAGGTGTTTATGAATCATAAGTGCAGTTTCTGCTTTGGAACTATTAGTACATAATCAGTAATAAGAGTAGTGTTTTGAGTTATTTAATTTGGTAATAACATTATCTTCTGCTATTTTAGTTTCTGTGATACTGATAATGTTTAAGAAATAAGTGATACAGTAATCCTTCTAGACTTGCTATTTGAGATTTTCATTGTATCTTCAAATATTATGGGTGCAAATTGTGAGATTTAAAGGTGAGGTATTAGAGTTTCTAGATTGTATTAAATTGCTAGAGATAGGAGCCAAAGGTGCTAGTATGAAGAAGACTAGTGTTAATGTATTTGATTTTAGCTGCATATTCGAATAATTCCAGTAGCTTAAAAGGTAAGATAAAGTGATTAGGTAATAGTTTAGCTTTCAATAAAAGATAGATATGAGCTTCACTATAATTATTTTTAATAGAAATAGTTAATATATAGCCACAAGCATTATCAGATAAATAGCCAATACTGTGAATGTATCATAAGAAAAAAATAATACCTTGTGAATAAGAAAGCAGTGGTAGATTGTTGTAGAATAGAAATTTGTTGTAATAGGTATTAAATTAGATGTTGTTATAGTAGTGTTTAGCTATAGTAGTTTCATTGTAACCTTCTAAAATAGCTCCTATTAGTTGAAAGTAAGAGTAGTCTATATTATTTTCTTTTATAATTAAGTTTGTATTTAATATTTGTTTATTGGAGAAAATTTAGAAGAAATAAGTATGGATGAGTAATAAATATAGCCTAATAGTTGTGAAAAAAATATTTAGGTTAAGGTTGAGATTTGTGTGCTAAATGTATATAATATTTGCTATAATCAATTTTGATTGATATTGTAAATACATAGTTAAAGTTGTTTAATTGTATATAGTTATAATAATAAATGTGTTTTAAAAAGAAGCTAAGTATTTGAGAATGTGGAAGAGAAGTAGGTTCAACTCTGCTAACAACAGATTATAGTATGTGTTTGGATCATATACTGTATTGTAAGATAAGTCTTGTAGTTTTTTCTTAATATGAGATAATAAAATAAAGTTTAAAGAAGTAGAAAGTTCTTCTGTAGATTTGCTTACTGTATACTCAGCTTGCACAGTTATGCAGAATACTATAACCTGGTCCTCTGTGTAAATAGATTTAACTACCTGACCACTTACATTATTCTTTTCTAAGAATGGTTTACTAAATGTAAAGGACATTATTATCTTAGAAGTGATGGCTACATTTATATGCTTTACAGAAGAGTTTATTAAAAAAAATTATGAAAGAGTGTTGTAACATAATCTGGTTATGAATTTTGTTCTGTGTTTTAGTTATTATTATCAGTATTTGACTCTGACATAATAATGTCATTATCAGGAAGTTTAAATGAATTATTATTTTCTTTAGATGTTAAAAGTGTTGATTTGGTAAGAATATTTAAATTAGAAAAAATGAATTTGGTTTTAGGTAAATTAAATTTATATTAAATTTAAAGTATTGAATTTGTTGAGCTTTAGAATAGAATTTTTTGTTATAAGATTCTCTAATTGATAAAATAGAAAGTTTATCATTTTTAAAAATATAAATATATGTAAGTACTTGAGCTAAATACTCAGTACTAATAGGTTTGCTAGTGATTTTGTTAATAATTTGGTATGAATGATGATTGTTAATTTAGTTATTTGCAGCAGCAGCACTGAGATAAGCTTTAAAAAAACTATAAAAATAATAGCTTTTTTATGTTTAATTGGTTTTAATGTTGTTGAGTTTAGTAAAGTTATTTTCAGTTTTGAAAGTGAATTGATGGTAAAAAATAATAGATGTGAATTTGTTAAAGGTAATACTATTTAGTTGGTTTTTGTTAAATATAGAAAATTCAATAACAGAATATGTCTATTTAAGTTTAGATTATGTGTTAGTTGAAACTGAAAAAGAATCAGATGAATTAGTAAAGAAGAGAAAAGATAGGGTTTTAATATTATGTTCTGTGTCTTTAGATAATATTGTACAGTTTTAAACTGTATATGTATAAATATAGTATAAGAAAACTTTAAAACATAGTTTAGAGCATTCCTGTAAAGAGTCAATGGAAGTAATTTTAAATTTTAAAGATAAGAATGCTTTGCATTTATTTGATAACTTGAGAGCTATTTGGTATTTGATATAGTTAAAAGTTTTTTCTTGGTCAATATTATAGAATTGTCATTTGTAAATATTAAAAAATTTTTTAAATCAGTCTTTGAATTTGGATAGATGATTTTTTAAAGAAAGAATTTGAAATGTTTGAAGAAATTGTTTTTTAGGAATATTAAGAGAGAAGTTGATGTTGAATTTGTCATCATTTTGAATCTTAGAGAGTGGTTAATTAATATTATCCTTACTAATATAATAGTATAGTTTGAAATAAATAAAATAAAGTTTAAGATCTTTATAAAATTTTTCTGTATAAATAGTTTTGTATTTGTTATAAAGAATAAAATATAAGTGAGTCAAATTAAGGGCTATTTGTTTTTGATTAATTGTAGTATATAAAGTAATAAAGCTGTAGAAAGCAAAGATTTTTGGATAATTCAATTAGATAAATAAAGTAGTAGTGAATTCTTGAAGAAAGGAAATAAAAATGGAATAGATTAATTAAAACAGAATAAATATGGATTTGTTAATTGAAGGAATTGCTTTATAAATAAGGTCAGTTAAAAATTTAGATCTTTTGTTTACTAAAGTTTTAACTAGATATTTATAATTAAGTTTGGATTTAGGAGTTTTGTTGTTACTGATTGTATAATTTTTTCTAGATAGATGTCAATAAGATATGATTTAATAAAAGTAAGTAATTGTTAGACAATAGAGTTTTTAAGTTTGATATTGTTTTTCATTAAGTCATTATAGGATATTCTTTAAATTAGTCAAGATCATTGCTAATATCTCTTTAGTTTTCTTTTTTCTTTTGTTTTTGTTGTTTGTTATTTTTTTTTTTTTTTGAATAAAAAGAAATAAAAAGTTGAATTTTGTTAATGGATTTTATTTGTCAAAGTTTAATAAGAGCAAGAATGATTTGTTATTTAAATGTAAGAGGAGAAATTATTTGTTTATAAGAGGTAGAAGAGGAGGTTTGAGTATTTAAACTGATTAGTTTTGACTTAATTATAGTTGTAGTTATTTGCTATTGAAATATTAGAGATAAAGTTTATATAAGTGGTTTGAGTTTGATATTTAATAGACTAAGAATACAAAGCCTATATAATAGGTTATTTTGAATATATTGCAAATAGCATAGTCTAGTACATGGTTGCTTTGTTCAGTCACAACACAAAAGATGTTTTTAATTCTATATATAAAGCATGTATGGTAATGTTAAAAGTATGTAATAATAGCAGTTGGAATAGGATCTACTGTGAAGTCAGGAAATAGAATATAAGGTTTGGTAAAAGAAATATCTAATTGTTGTTATTTGAAATTAGGTGAAGCAGAAAATTCATTGCTAATTTTTTTAAATCAGTTTAAGAAGATAGTTGTTGCAGTTTATGTTGTAAATAGACTGAGAGTTGTAGAATAAGGAATTCTGTAGAATTTAGAAGTAAAACTAATATGATATGCTCCACAGAGACATATAGCAATAGTTAATTGTAAGAGAACTTTAAAGTAATGATGTTTTTTGACAGAAGCATCACAATTAATTAGATTGACATCTGTAGGAAGTACTTATAGAGATTGAAGTCTTTCTTCAGTCATTTCTACACTATAATGATCTTTATATTTGCCATGATAGTAGTCAATATTATAAGAATTTGGATCTTCATTAATAAGAGTTGGCATTTTTGCTTAAAAGATGAAAATAAAATAGATTATTAAAATCTTGGATATAAGATGATCTGAAAGATATAGGAGTGTGACAAATAAGGATGTGACAGATAACAAGATATAATAAATAAGAGGATGTGATAAACACAAGGTATATCAAATAAGTATTATACAGAGTATGTAACACTTGCAGAACTGAAAGTCAAGATTGATGTTAAACAGAAAAGTTGTATAAAATTAAAAGAATACAAGTTTGTAAACAATACAGATTAATTCAAATAGTGTAATATTGATTAGTAATTCTGTTTGGGCAGGTTTGGATGGGGCAAACTAGAGCCAGCTCCCTAAAAAATTAAAAAATTTTTGTAAAAATAAAATACAAAGTTTTGTAAGAGAGTTTAAAAATAATTTTTGATAAATTAGTCAGTTTTAGACCGTTTTTGATAATTTATATATCAAAATGAAGCTGAGAATAAGCTCTTTTGTTTGCTTTAAGTCACTAGAGCAGTTAACCTAGTAAAATTTTGAAATAACTTAAATAGAAGTATTTTTTAGTTTATTAAATATATCTCTGTTAAAAAGAAACTTAGAGATATAAAACTTGGCTACCTAAGTGTAAATTTGTATTAGGAACAATTTTATTTAGATACTTAGAAGTGGTTTACTTAATAAAATATTGAGTAAGAGACAAATGTTAGTAGCAGAAATTTGGTACAAGTGATCGTTAAAAGAGTTAGTAATTTGTGTCTCTTTTTATTTTTATTATCTTTTTATTTTTATTATTATTTTTATTATTTTTTTATTAAATTTATTTTTTTATTAATTTTATTATTTTATTAATTTTATTTTTTTATTTTTTAGTTTTTTGTTTGTAACATTTTTTTATTTTTTATTTTAATTTTTATCACAATTATTACATAGGTCATATAATTCAAATTATGTAATGTACCATTAATATTCATATATTACATTATTTAGATATATATATAATGTATTATTTTTTATATATAAAGTTTTTATTATATAAATTTTTTTATTAGTACTAATAATAAAAGATTTAGAAAAGGGCAGATTAATGGGTAACTGTCTTGAAAATAGTGAGTATGTAGGTAACTGTTTTAAAAATGGCAGATGAGTGGGTAACTGTCTTGAAAATAGTGAGTAGATAGATAATTGTCTTGAAAATTACAGTTGGATGAATAACTGTCTTGAAAATGGCATGTGGATAGATAACTGTCTTGAAAATAGTGGGCGGGTAGTAACTGTCTTGAAAAGGGTGAATTGATGATTAACTGTCTTAAAAAGGCCAGTTGGATAGTTAACTGTCTTGAAAATGCCAGGTGGGTGAATAACTGTCTTGAAAAAAGGCTAAGTGAGTAAGTAACTATCTTGAAAAGGTCAGGTGGATTGTGTAATAGTATTGAAAAGGCCAGGTAAATGTTGTAACAGGTTTAAAAATAGCGAGTGAGTGGTATAACTGGTTTAAAATATTATGTTATATAATAACAGAGATTCTGAATATGCTCTATTTATGCAGGTCATATTGATATAGTTAAAAATGCTTCAAAAGTAGGTACTTTCAGTACCTGTTGAAATTAAAAATCTACTAAAAGTAATTATGAAAAAGGTTTGGTTTACCAAATTTTTAAATGTTGAAAATCCTACTGAAAGTCAAAAGTTTTATTGAAAGTCAAAAGTCTTACTGAAAGTTGAAAGTCTTACTGAAAGTCAAAAGTCTTACCAAAAGTCAAAAGACTTACCAAAAGTTGAAAGTCTTACTAAAAGTCAAAAGTCTTAGTGAAAGTCTTAGTAAAAGTCTTACCAAAAGTTGAAAGTCTTATTGAAACTCAAAAGTCTTACCAAAAGTTGAAACCCTTACCAAAAGTTGAATGTTTTACCAAAAGTCAAGGCCAATCATATCTTTACACAGATACTTTTTTATTATAAAAAAGTCATGTGACTACTGCAATTAAAATTGACCAATGAAATTTATAAAAATTCGATTGATTAATTTTAAATACAGCATTATGTGACTTTTTTAAATTCAAAAATATATCTGACTTTTGATAAGAGTTTTGACTTTTGATAAGGGTTTCAACTTTTGGTAAGACTTTTGACTTTGGTAAAACTTTTAGTAAGAGTTTTGACTTTGGTAGGACTTTTGAATTTTGGTAAGACTTTCAAGTTTTGGTAAGGGTTTCAACTTTTAGTAAGACTTTTGACTTTTGGTAAGACTTTTGACTTTCAGTAAGAGTTTCAACTTTTGGTAAAGATTATAACTTTTGGTAAAATTTTAACTTTTGGTAAGACTTTTAACTTTCAGTAAGACTTTCGACTTTTAGTAAAACTTTTAACTTTTAGTATAACTTTCAGCATGACTTTTAATTTTGGCATGACTTTTGGTATACCAAAAAACTTTTAAAGCTATCCTTAGACATAGTGACAGACAATTGCATAATAGTATAGAACAACAACAATGTTGTTGTCAACTAGCTCTTAGGCCTGGGCGATGCTCTAGGGCTAGGTCTTAAATATTTTTAATCTCAGATTCTGTAATTAAATCCAATTGTAGTTCACTTGAACCAAGATTAAGTTTAAGTAAACCTGATTTTGGTTTGCTTGAACATGATTTTGGTTCATTTGAACCCAGCTTTGGTTCAAATGAACCTGATTTTGGTTTTCTTAAATCCAGATTTGATTTACTTAACCTAATTTTGATTCACTTGAACCTAGATTTGGTTTAAGTAAACCTGATTTTGGTTCAAGTGAACCTGATTTTGGTTCACTTGAACACAGATTTGGTTTAAGTATACCTGATTTCAGAAGTAACTCCATTTTTGGTTTGCTTGAAACCAAAATTGGTTCAAGTAATCATGATTTTGGTTTCAAGTGAACCTGATTTTGGTTTACTTGAACCCAGATTTGGTTCAAATGAACCCAATTTTGGTTCACTTCAATCTAGCTATAGTTCAAGTGACCCCGATTTTGATTCAAGTAAACCTGATTTTGGTTCACTTGAACCTTATTTGGTTTACTTGAACCTGGATTTGATTCAAGTGAACCTGATTTTGGTTTACTTGAACCTGGATTTGGTTCAAGTAAACTCGATTTTGGTTCAAATGAACCCGATTTTGGTTTACTTGAGCCTGGCTTTGGTTCAAATGAACTCGATTTTGGTTCAAGTGAATCAGTTTTGGTTCACTTGAACCCAGCTTTGGTTCATTTGAACCCGGCTTTGGTTCACTTGAACCTGGCTTTGGTTCAAGTGAACCCGATTTTAATTTATTTGAACCTAGAAGTATGTATGTACATAAACATACATATGTGCATATATATATTTTTTTCTTTTTAACCTGCTTCGCAGGTCATTTTAGGTTAGAGCATGACAGTGTAACCAAGCATCTCGCTATATAAGAGGGAAGACACCAACAATGTTGTTATCAATTGTGTAACATTTTGGTTTATCATCCAATAAAATTTAAAGCCTGCTATGCTTCAATAAGGTTATTTAAACTTTTTATTTGTATACTTTTGTTAGATAAAAAAAAATTAATTTATAAAATCACAAAAAAAAACATAAATAAATATGATCAAATCATTTTTTATATATTCAACTTTAATTTTGTAACAATAAGTCTTTCAAATTACTAAATACAATAACTTTTTTATTATTATTTAGATTAGTTCTAAAAGGCATAGTCAGACAGTAGTTGAAATCAGTAACTTAACCTATTATAGATCATGGACATGACAACATAAGTTAAAGCTCATATGATAGAGTTTTATGACATTATTGATCATATTGATCATATCGATTATATCGATCATATCGATCTTATTGACCATATTAATTATATTGATAAATCAGTAAAAGTCTACCTTCCAAATAAAAGTAAACTTATTTCTAATTATGAAATTTAATTGTAAATAATTATTTGCTTTGTAAGTACAAAAGTACATTTCTTATCACTCTTATAATTACTTAAAAACTTAAAATCTGTTTATGCATTAATAAAAAACAAACTTTAATTTTTAAACTTTAATTACTTTTAACTTTATTTCTACTTTATTTTCTTTGCATTTGAATTATTTCATATTCTGTTACTAAAAAATTTCTGTATGCATTTGCATTTCTAATTGCTTTTTCATAAAAACTATTATCATGATAAGAACATCCTTTATCTTGATTAAAATTATCGTACATCCAAAGATTACCAAAAAATGAACCATAATTTGAACCACAATAAATTGCATATTGCAGATTTTTTACACAACTTAAGTTAAGAAACTTATAGTTCTATTTTTTAATGAAAAAATAAAGCTATCATTGCAATATACATATTTACCAAGAAAGTCATCAATTTATTTATCCTATTTTAAAGAATATAACTGTCAAGAATTTTATCAGAGTTTTTAACTTTCATTAGCACAATAGTATTTGCTTGCTTATCACATTTTTTCCAAAATGATTTATTAGCAAAACCATCTCTGGCTCCACGACAAAGTAATTTAAACTCATACAGGTTATTTTCTATTAAATATAGTTTAGCTTTATTATTAACTCATGTCGCAATTTCTTGTGTATATTCTTTAGTAATAATTGTTGAAAATAGTTCTGTCATATGTGTTGGTAACTTTGGTGCTAAAATTATTCAAGGTGACATACAGTACATATGTATATGTATGTTACATATGTATTAATATGTACATTATATGCATGTTCATATATACATAAATATGTATATACATACATATATATTTTTCTCATGTTATCACTTTTTGACCTACGAAGCAGGTCATTTTAGGTTATTCTAACCTGCTTCGCAGATCAATTTACAGGTCACACAGGATACAGTGTGACATAGTGACAGACAATTGCACAATAGTATAGACAAACAACAATGTTGTTGTCGATGTAGTATGTATATACATAAACATATGTACATAAATACATATTATTTTTTAATCTGCAAAGCAGATTATTTTAGATTATTTTAACTTGCTTTGCAGATTACAGTATAACAGCATGATGGACAATCATGTCTTATAAGAAGTAAACTATCTCTCAGAACTAGGCAATGCTTCAGAACTAGGTTTTAAGTGTTTTAATCTCAAATACTATTTAACAAATAGTATAATAATTAATTTATAATTTTCTAGCTCTCAGCCCTAAGTGATGCTCTAGGGCTAGGTCTTAAGTGTTTTAGATCTTAAATTTTGTAATTATTAATTTTAATTAATAATATAATAATTAATTTATATTTTTCTAGCTCTCAGGCTTGGGTGATGCTCTGGGGCTAGATCTAAGTGTTTTAAATTTTAGATTTTAGTTATTTAATTAGTAATAAAGTTAAATTATAATTTTCTAGCTCTCAGATTTAGAAGATGCTTTAATGTTAGGTTCTAAGTATTTTTGGTCTTAGTTTCAAATAATATTATAAATAGATTTTTAAAATTTAGTAAAATTTAGTAAAATTTAATAAAATTTAATAAAATTTAATAAAATTTAGTAAAATTTAGTAAAATTTGATATATTTTTTTAAAATTAATAAATAGAAAATATTACTATATGTTTCTAATATAAATTTATGTATAAAATCAGATTACTTAGTATATAAAAATAGAATTACTCTACTATAATCTTTTTTTACTGAAATGTGATAGATCATATCTGAAACAGTTTATGATCTGTGTTGAAATAGTATATTTATTGGTTGTGCTTATACTCGTAATTCACCACATTTCCTTTTTGACTAAAAAGAGAAGATTTTTATTTAATAATTTTATATTATCTTATATACACAATATGCGCTATATGTGGTATATATGCAATATGAGCAATATGAGCAATATGCATTATTTGCACTAAAGATTAGCTTTATTTATGTATAAGCCCTGAGATTTTTTGTTATATTTGAGTTATATTTATAATTTTTTGATGATCATATAAAATATGTTATGCATGCTGTTACTATTGTAAATCAGAAGAGTGGTCAATATAGTATAGTTTAGTTCCAATAGTTAACATAATACTGGGTATAATTGTCTAATTACTTTTATAGTATGTGTTATTATTAGGATTCTATATACTATATTTGGGTAGGTCAATAGTAATTGATCGGAAAAGATAATAGTTTATAGGTTATCAAAATTAATTTAATTAAGAGTAGCATGAATCTTAAAGATATTTTTAAAAATGATTTATATAAATGATCATGATAAATAATTAATTTAATTATTAAGTAACTGATTGATCTAATTAAAATTCTTCTATGCAGTTCTTTGTATATATATTACAATATAGGAATTATATAACTATTAAGATACAGCTCCTATTTATTTAGAGAAAGGTCTATTCAACCTCAATGCTTACTTCCTTT